CTGTGAGTGTGCCCCTATTTCTTGGGTTGACAATTAATGCAGATAACAAGCTACATTTTCTGTTGAAGAGAAGTCTAAATTTCTACTAGCTAGTCATCATGAGAGATTTTCATCCTCTGTTCTTTGTTTCACAAGTGTGTTGGACACATATATTTTCGCTCGTGAAACAGTTTTTAATAAGTTGACTAATGTGATCACAAGTGTCTCTGCTTCTACAAGACTGCTAGAAGAAACCAGACCTATGCTAAGGCCGCCTGCCCCGACTAATAAGGCTTATCAACCAAGGCAGCTTCCCAACATTAGACGTCTGCAAAATGAACCAGAGCATAGAACCTGTTTCATCTGGCAAGCTCTCTATTGTTGTGCAAGGTTGTAGTAGTTCAGATCAATGCCAGAGTAGACCATGTCTAAACACTTTCAGTACACACTAATGAGTGATATGCCAACACATTGTTTTCAACAAACATCCAGTGTATTGCTATTGTCACCAAAGATTTAGCTACTAATGTTTCGATCTTCCCTCCTGAATGCGAATTATTTTTTTGCTAAACAACACTGACAATTTTCGTCAAATACTCTCACTAACGAAAACTGTTACATAGGTTAAACTAGCACACCTTTTCACTGTGTTAACATTTTGTGACTTCTGTGTGCGAATTTTGGGTTGAAATCCGTGCATATTAATTAGCCAATTTTCATGCATTTCCACTTGCTTCTCATGCACCGTTCAACAGACCAGGATGCTCTGGGATAATGTACAAACCTCATTAGTTTTTGGTTGAAATCCATGTTTACTAGTATTATTTACCTACCTTATGTAATTGACCTCATTAATATGCATAATTGTAATAATCAAGCACTGGACATGCAACTAGTGCTATTATATGGACGCATTTGACAAAACTACCACATGGCCATATTTGGTCATGCAACCTCATTAAATAATACACATACTTGTAATATTGTTGTAAGTATTGTTGCAGATAAAGAATGCAACAAGCATGGCATGTTTGTGGTCAAAATCAACAACAAATAAGGCAACTGAATGGAAAATAGATCATAGTTTTTTTTTTTAAATCTCCATTCGCATTTTGTCGCCAGTTCATGATATCTGCCATAGAACTTGAATTTTGATATAAGACGTTCTCCTAAAAAATCTTGATTTAGAAGCTTTGAAGGCAGTCTATGAATTTTAAATTATATTTTGTGCAAGGTCTAGCATATCGAACATGCTAGGAAATGTATATACCATATACGAGAGAAACAGAAATATTACTACAAGAAAAGGAGGAATTGATGAATCAAAGTCCCCTCTTTTGTCGTACCGTCTAGTAGAAAGGTTGGCCTAAATTCAAATTAAAGAGGACATCCATATACAGGCTATGAGGCAGATATAAAATCCGATTATGTGGTTTATTTGATCTCAATGTATGATCGTTCTCTATGACGTAACCGATTCTGCTTATGAGTGTTTATTTATTTGCTGTGAGGGCGCGTTATAAAGATGTTATTCAGTGGGATTTTTTGTTTCGATACGTGAATGTGACGTCTGGTGTGCGCGTCTACAAAAAGTAGTAAGGTGCTGGGTCGCGACTGAATCTTGTGTGTGTGGGATTATATGTCTATTTCACATTTGATTAATACTTCTAGAAATATAACACCGGAGTATTTTAGTTACATGTGTGATGGTGAAAAAGGCCTAGATCTTGTAACTTTCTTGATTGAATTACTACAAATACCTTGATTAAACATTCATAATAATATCTTCTATAAACAATATTATTGGCAGCTTTATCAGTAAGGGCAGAAACTTATTTGTCAAGGAGAGAAGCAAAACACTCGCGTGTTTCCAGATAACTGAAAACAAATTTGGTGTCTGTCTTGTAAGTACGATTGATAATTTCTGATACGGCAAGATATGGCACCTCTAACAGCTTTGGTTCATTCTAAAAGTGTATCAGTTCAAACTACTCCAATTAGCCCTTTTAGTCCATGATGATTTTATAATTATACCGTCAACTGATTTCACGAGGCCAATGTGTGGCACATTATTCAGAACACCCAATGGGGACATAGTTAAATGAAGTAGAGAAGCAGTCACAAGGTGTATCACTATAATAAGAGTTATCAGTATTTATACGTCGCAATGCCTTTTTATAGTTGAATATTTTGGTGAAATGAAATGGAATGGGCCATGACATTGACCTCACTACATCCCGAACCCGAAGTTGCTAATATCTGCGACGTTGTCATTCCAGCCATATAGAATGACAATAACCAATTTCTAATGCAGTTTTCTCTTTCTCTATGGAAAGATGAAGTGTGGAACTATCGGTGAGATGATATTTTTTTACAATGCAAACACCCATTGACAACATGGAGTGATTATCCTGGATGTTATATTTATAAAGTTCAGATAATTATTCACTTCATAGTTTAAACACATTATAACATAGATACGGGACGTGCCTTGTGTTGTTATACTTATCTTAGCTTATCTGCAATACAGGTCCAACAAATAAACTTCTCTGATAGCCTTTTATCTTACAAGTCTTCAGCAATGATGTTGTCACGGGATGTGGTTCGTTTGGTGAAAGTTTACTTATGTTGTGTTGAAGAGAATGTACCTAGTAATACATTCAATAATTCACCACAATATGTAAAATTGCTATTATTCGATAAATTAACACTAGGGGCCGCTAGTGAGTTAGATTTGTTTGGATTTGGCTACCGGTATATACAGTAAATAAATATTCAAAATAATCGATCAATGGTGAGAAAATCTTTGGTAAACAGCTACTTGGATTTTTTAAACAACTGCACTACAGATTTAACGTCGTGCTTGTATACAGGGAGTAACAGCACTCCACCGCTATTCTGCTATTAAATAAGATATAAGTGACCAATAAGTGTCAGTCCAACGTCGTGTTTTGATCACGTATGCATATATGAAACAACTCAGTCAGGTTGAGTTCCTGAGTTAGCCTTCGCCGTAACAACCACATATGACAGCTGGATTATTGTTATGTGAATTAAAAAATGATTGGTTATTCAAAATAGCAAACAAATCTAAGATCTGGGATACCAATTTTGGTAGTGAAATAAATCACTTTTTATACAAACTATGACAATCTAACACGAGGGGAGTATCAGCACTCCATCGTTATTCTGCTACTAACAATATATATAAGAGATAAATAAGTGTCAGTCCAACGTTGTGTTTCGATCACGTATGCATAAATGAAACAGCTGAGTCAGGTTGATTTCCTGACTTAGACTTCGCCTATGTGAATTAAATAAGGTTTCCAACTATTAAATGATTGGTTATTCAAAATAGCAAACAAATCTGGGATCTGGGATACCAATGTTGGTAGTGAAATAAATCACTTTTTATCTAAACTATGA